TGGCATAGTGCCTAAGGCATTTGACTGCTAACCAGAAGGCTGGCGGTTCAAACCCACCAGCTACTCCTCAGAAAGATGAGTGGACAACCTACTTCTGTAGAGATACCGCCTTGGAAACCCAATGAAGGGTCGCTATGAGTCAAATCAGCTTGACAGCAGTGAGTCTATTGTTTCTATGCAAGTTTAAATTGAAGCTGACAAAAATTAAATTAAGTCCACAGGAGCCAAAATACAACCTTAGGTATGTCACACCTGAATTTAAAAACAATCTCAAGAATAGATTGGACTGAAGACCAGAAGAGTTGTGGAATGTCATTATGGATATCATACACAAAGAAAGTAAAAGGTTATTTAAAAAACAAGAAAAAAACAGAAGACCACAATGGATGTCAAAAGAGACTCTGAAACTTGCTCATAAATGGAGAGTAGCTAAAGTGAATGGAAAAAATGAAGTAAAAGAGCTGAACAGAAAATTTCAAAGGGCAGCTTGAGAAGATAAAGTATTATAATGAAATGTACAAAGACCTGGAATCAGAAAACTAAAAGGGAAGAACAGGGTCAGCATTTCTCAAGCTGAAATAATGGAAGGAAAATTCAAGCCTTAAGTTGCAATACTGAAGCGTTCTATGGACGAAATACTGAACAATGTAGGAAGCATCAAAAGAAGATGGAAGGAATAACAGAATCAATGTACCAAGAAATACTGGTCAATGTTCAACCATTTCCATAGGTAGCATATAATCAAGAACTGATGGTACTGAAGGAAGAAATCCAAGCTGCACTGAAGGCAATGGTGAAAAACAGAGCCTCCAGGAATTGACAGAACACCCACTGAGATGTTTCAACAAATGGATACACTGCTGGAAGAGCTCATTCATTTATGCCAAGAAATTTTTAACACAACTACTTGGCTAACCAGCTGGAAGAGATCCATATTTGTGCCCAATGCAAAGAAAGGTGATCCAATAGAATGTGAAAATTATTGAACAATATCATTAATATCACATACAAGTAAAATTTTGCTGAAAATAATTCAAAAATAGTTGCAGCAGTACATCAATAGGGAACTGCCCAAAATTCAAGCTGGATTCAGCAGAGGACTGGAACAAAGGGTATCATTGCTGATGCCAGATGGATCTTGGCTGAAAGCAGAGAACACCTGAAAGATGTTTACCTGTGTTTTGTTGACTATGCAAAGGCATTGTGTTGTGTGGATCATAACACGCTTATAGATAACATTGAGAAGAATGGGAATTCCAGAACACTTAATTGTGGAATCTGTTCATAGACAAATAGGCAGTTATTTGAATAGAACAAGGAGATACTACATGGTTTACGATCAGCAAAGGTGGGCATCAGGGTTGTATCCTTTCACCATGCTTAATCAATCTATATGCTGAGCAAATAATGAGAAGCTGGACTGCAGAAGAACACAGGATCAAGATTGGAGGAAGACTCATTAAAAACCAGCAAAATGCTTATGACACAACCTTGCTTACTGAAAGTAAAGATGACTTGGCGCATTTACTGAAGGAGATCAAAGACTACAGTCTTCAGTATGGGTTACTCCTCAACATAAAGAAAACAAAAATCTTCACAACTGGACCAATAAGCAACATCGTGATAGAGAAAAAATTGAAGTTGTCAAGGATTTCATTTTAATTGAATCCACAGTCAATGCCCATAGAAGGAGTAGTCAAGAAATCAGATGTTACACTTGGCCAATCTGCTGCACAGACCTCTTTGAAGTGTTAAGAAGCAAAGATATCACTTTGAAGAGCAAGGTGTGACTGACCCAAGTCATGATATTTTCAATTGCATTATATACATGTGAAAGCTGGACAATGAATACGTAAGACCAAAGAAGAATTGATACATTTGAATTGTGGTATTGGCAAAGAATATTGACAATATGATGGCCTGCCAGAAGAATGAACAAATCTGTCTTGGAAAAAGTGCAAGTAGAATGTTCTTTAGAAGCAAGAATGGCCAGACTTCATGTCTCGTACTTTGGTCATATTATCAGAAGGAATCAGTCCCTAGAGAAGGATATCATGCTTGGTAAAGTAGAGAGTCAGTGAAAAAGGGGAAGACCCTCAACAAGATAGACTGACACAGTGCCTACAAGGATGGGCTCAAGCATACCAACGATTATGAGGATGGTGCAGGACCAGGCAGTGTTTCTTTCTGTTGTATAAAGGATTGCTATGTATCAGAACAGACTCCTAACAACAACAACATACAAACCTCTAAGCACAATGCACATAGTCCTCAGGAGATATCTGGTGATAGCAACAGAATGGTCAAAAGAACAGCAATAGCTGTTCCCAAATTCTATTTCACCCTATTTTACCTAACCTCACTCTTTGGCAAACATAAAATCCTCAATGGTAGAAATTTCTAATGGTATCCAATATCTGTCTCTCGTCTCTTCCCTCGAAAGAGGAGAAGACTACACCTCCAGCCCCCTGCAGTTACATCACTTCCAGTCCAAGGAACTGAGGAACCAATGTGCCATCTCCACACACTCTCTTCCCATGCCAGACAACTCTTGAACTCATGCCACAAGATGCAGGAATCCTGGATCTGTAAATCACTACATGGAAGACAGCTTCCCTGGAGAGTCAGCTGACCTGCTTCAGACTTTAAGCAAGAATAAATGTCTGATGGGTCAAGCCACTGAGATTTGATGTATGTTAATGTAGCAGAACCTATCCTGACCAAGAGACAACCATATACCTCTAAAGGGTATGTTAACATGCTCCCAAGGAGGGAAGAAGGGGTACTTCAATTATTTTAATATAACTTGCTTTTTGTTAATCTTTACTTTCTTTCATTGTAATATAACATTATATCACAAATAAATTATCTTCTCAAACTATCCATGCTTGTCCCCCTAATACATGTTTTAACCTGAAAAAAAGAGAAATGTATTTTACTTGCATTTAACGTATAGACTACTCCTGGATCTTTCACTGGCTCATATGTCACACGGTCATATGTCAACCAAGGAAGCAAAAACTGGAGCATCCTCCAGCATTCACTTGCTGCTGCCTTATGGCAACACAGCATAGTTAAGGAGACTTATGGATCTTACCTAGTTTAAACTGAACTAACACTAACAAAATGGACAAGTAGTTTAAAATATTTTTAGCAAGAACAAAAAGTTTTTGCATGTCATACTTCATCTCTTCCCTATTTAGTTTTATCTTTGTGAATGTCATATTTATATATGTAAGACACATATTGGCACAGTAGTACATCATATAATTTATTTTAAAAAGCAAACATAATTGAGGGTCCATAATCAAAACAAATTTTAATGATAAGAGCATGAAACAAAAGTAATTTTCAGGCTGAAAGTTTTGAGAATAGCTTTCAAATTTTTGGTCACCATGCATATCATTCCTAAACTGCTTTAACTATTTTCCAAAACATTTCAAAGAAAGGGGGTGAAATGTACACTGCAGTAACAGGTTCACAAGGACTTCATGAACCAGCAAAGCTAAAAAAAATTAAAAAAAAGGAGGGGGAATAACAATGAAGAGCATTAATCTGATTTGAGAGAGAAGAACAAAGCTTTCTGTTCCAACTAAAAATCACATTTCCACATCTGAAAACCAGCAATGCTTCTGTCAGATAATCAAAGGGAAAAGATGATTGCTTTCTATGCATAGAAGGGGAGCAAAGAGCAGAGTCTCACTACAGGTCACAAGTGCTTCCAAGGGCACCTGGAATCCAAAGGAGTGGTAGCCAGGAAAATAGACAGGAGGGTCAGCAGATAACCCCAACAAAGGCAGAGTGCTTCATTAGGCCAATATCAAGACCAATTATCAGGAAATCACCAGTTCAGCCCAAGTTAGAGTTACCTCAAATTTCTAAGAAAATTAAATTCTTAAAAGTTGGAAATTCTTAGACAAATGGCTTAGTACCCTTTACTTTCCCAGTCTTAGCACTTATTTAACTACCAGTAAGAGGTGAAACTGGGATTTAAGATATTTCTGACTCCAAAATCCTTATGAAAATAGTACCATATAAAATGGGTCTCATTAAAATAGGTAGGATTTAAAAGGGAAACGGGCTGTGACTGGAAGAAAACTGAGGGGTAGGTTCCGGGCTGCTGAGAAAACCACCAGTGGAAGGGAACATTAAGAACAAAACCCTAGAGGTGAGAAACTTTGAGTGTATACAGAAATTACCAGGTGGTGGTGTAGGTGGTCAAAGACAAAGCTTATAGGAGATAAGGCTGGAAAGGTTGGCTCAAGTCTTCCATGGAAGGTGCTTGAAAGCTCAGCCAATGAAACAGACTTTATTCTGGAGGAAATGTGGAATCACTGAAGGCTTTCAAGCAGAGGAGTGACATAACATCAGGCAGATATTTGGAAAACTAATCTTGCTATAATATGGAGGATGAATCAAAGAAGAGTAAGAACATAGATATTTAATTAATATGGAATGAATGAAGGCAGAAAGACATGGTTAAGATTTACTATATGTATCTAAAATGATATCAGACATATTTTTCCCGATCCTATTTAATATTGTTCAGTTTGCCACTTAGAGAACAAACTTCACACATTCAGAAAGAGAGAGTTCTGCTGGTGCTTCAAGAAAAAAAATCAATTCACCAATCAAACGTGACTCACTAAATGCTGCTGTTGAAGTGTTTAGTCTTGCAAAAATTAACATTGCTTTTCTATCCAGAGGGAAGTATATCTGAAATGTTGCTGGAATTGCTGAAAAAGAAAACAAAATTAATCAAGTAAAAAGTTTTGCAATGAGAATTGACCCCCTTCTTCTGCAAGGCTATCGGGAAAGTTACTGGAAAATAAAGAAATTACAAGCTATAACTTCACATTTCCTCTTCTAGCCTCCAAGTAAGATACCATAGCCTTCTCAATAATGCCAAACTCTTCTGCACAGGTTGTGGTACCACCTGCAAAGCATCAACTACTCAGTGAGAAACCAAAGCTGAAAATGAGAGATTAGTCATAACCTACCTGATTTTCCTCATGGGAAACCCTCATCTGCTCCTTGAGGACAGACATCCGGGCTGCCTCTTCTTTCCTCAAGACTCTCTCCTTCTTGAGCTCAGGACTCCAGAAGGTCTTGATACTGTTCATAGAAGATCCCAACTTGCTATCTTTAATGTCTAGCTCTTTCCGGAGGAGGTCATTCTCTCTCTGAAGTTCCTTGAGCTGGGCCTGAAGATCTAACATTGTGCTATCCCTTACCTGCCTCAACATAGAGGGGACCTGGTGGTGGTGATGATGGGATGAGGTGGTCAGACCACCATGTTGATCCGTGTATGAAAGGACATCTGTGTGAGAAAGTCCAGCAGAAGCAATATTGGGACTGCTCCCCATGGCTGTGACTCGGCCCCCATAAACAGCTCGATTTGTGGCCCTTCCCAGAGTCATGGTGCCTTTTGGGTAAGTCGTCGAAGCCACCCCTTCATGGTCACTCAGATACATGGGTCCAGATGTAGCATAGGCTGCATTAAGGGACTGGATATTCTCCATGGACAGAGTCTTGCCTGTTCCTCCACCTCCCCCACTACTTGTTCTTCGGTGGCCCAAACGAGGAGACCTTGGCAAACGAGGTGATCTAGAAGGGCTACCTTCCAGATTAGTGATTGTTCTCGCACTTCCATACATTTTTCTTCTACTATGAGGTGCTACTGAAGAGAAAAAATATTATACTAAGTTGGAGATTAAGTCAATATTTTCAATGTTGGCCAGAATTTTCACTGCATTCTTTCCATAGTCTGTACCAGGAAATGACTCCAATCAGAGATCTGTAAAGTGAGAAGAGGGATACTTAAAAACAAACATCTTTAGAACTCTGACTATAATTGCTATTATATTTTAAAATATAGGCAGGGTGGTAGCACAGATAGATCAAATTATGACCATGAAGTATATTTAAAAAGAAGTGACCCAAAAATTTTACTTACTACATATAAACTTTATATAAATTCCCCCCATCATGCCTCCATGGAAGGTCAAAAGTTCTCAGAGACAAAAAGAAGCTACCTTTTCCTTAGGAAAATGAAGCTTAGCATTTGCCTAAGGCATTTGACTGCTAACCAGAAGACTGGAGGTTCAAACTCACCAGCCACTCCTCAGAAGGAAGGTTGGGGAATCTACTTCTGTAGTGATGCTGCCTCGGAAACCCAAGGAGGGGTCACTATGAGTTGGGTCTGACTCCATGGCACATAACAACAACAACAAGTGAAAGCTGGGAAATCCAGAAAATGTAGAATTCCCCATCATGAAAACTTTAGCTATAAAAATAACTCATTTTGAGGGTCATGATGCCCATACATTAGTGGCTACATAGTGACTTTGAGAAGCTGTTTCCTGGGATGTCAAATACTTGGCACACATACTGTTACGTCCCCCTACTGCACCCATTGTAGACAGCACCAATTTATCACATGAATTGGAATCTACTCCCCATCTTAAAGCTAGTAGAAAAAGAGGGAACTCAAGCAACACAACTCTATACATATAGCCAGTTTAAATGCCACCACCAGAGAAAATGACAGTCCTATTTTTCTTCCCGTCTATTATAGATTGAATTGTCTCCCTAAAATATATGTTGGGATCTTAACCCATATGCCTATAAATGTAATCCTTTTCAGAAATCAGGTCTTCTTTTTTATGTTAATTAAGCCACAACAGTGGAGGGTTTGTCTTATACTTAATCACTTCTATGTTATAAAAGAGCAGATCAGACACAGAGGCATACAGATACTGGGGAAGACAGACACTATCTGACCACAGAGACACATGATCCCCAAGGATTGCAGCTAGTAGAAGATGAAAGAGACAAAGAAGGACCTCCCCCTAGAGGTATACTCTGAATTTAGACTTCCAACCTCCTGAACTGTTAGAAAATAAATTTCTGTTCTTTAAAGCCACCCACTTGTGGATTTCTGTTACAGCACTATTAGATAACTAAGATACCTTCCACACACATATTTCAGGCTAAACTTTTGGGACTTCTTCATTATGGTTGGCCTTAATAGTCACACTAACCACATCCCAACCATACAGAAATGGCACAGGGGACCAGTACACTGTATTTGTATTAGTGTTTCTAGTCCCATAACCCCTATAGAAAAGTAGGAAAGTACTCCCTCATGGTTACTCAGGCACAATAGTTCAGATTTTATGTAGCTTGGAACTACAAGGTTATGATTATCCTTTCAGCTTAAGGACCCAAATGACTTTTTAATGGTGTGCATAGTGACCTCCTGGTCTTCCACTTGGCATGTCTATAGTACACCTTCATTTTCTTCAGCTTTAAGATAATAAGAACAATGGCTAGAGAATAAACATTGCAAAAGGGCAAAGTGAGGCTCAAATCCTGATTACCTGAATGACCCTCAAAAATTATTTCACTGTTTTGAACATCCAGTCTCCAATCTATATTGTTGTTGTTAGGTTCTGTCAAGTTGGTTTCAACTCATAGTGACCCTATGTACAACAGAACAAAACAATGCCCAGTCCCATGACATCCTCATAGTCATTACTATGTTTCAGCCCAAGGTTGTGGGCACTGTATCAATCCATCTTGTTAAGGGTCTACCTCTTCTATAAAATGCAGGTAATACCAACTAACTAGCTCACAGTATTGTGAACAAGTGAGACCATGTTCATAAAACACCTATTTTGTACCTAGCACATTCAATGAATAGATTTTGTTGGTAATGTCTCAATGAGGTAATTAATAACACTAAAAGAAATGTACTTCAATAAACAGGGGTATCTTTTACTTTTACTCACCCATCATCCATCTTCTCTTCTTACTGATAATATTGTCTCTATATTCTTTAAAGAAATTATTCCCAAACCTC